GGTGTGCATGTGTGTGTATATTCTCATGTGCGTGTGTATTCACCTAATTGTAGTTATAGGATGAGAGCTTTGCTCGTGGTGCCCCGTCTTGCCAGCACTGTCATAGTAGTAGGCATCCGGCAAGTCTCAAAAGACTATGGAGTTGCACTCTGGTTGTCGGTCTGGAGTGGCCTCTCCAGGACGCAAAGCCTGGGTACATAGATACGGAGTAGAAGCTGTCATCTATGCAGCAAGTCCCCCCCCCCCCCCACCTACCCCTCTCGACAGCACCAAAAAAGTCTCCAATGGAAAGGCAAATGCCAATACATTTGGTTCCAGTGCTGTCACAGGAACTGTCAGAACGAGGTTGAAGGCAACAACGAACTGCCCTATGGGCTCCAGCTCCGGAGTTTACCTCAAAGTTGGTGAAAGAAGGCACAAGGACTCCAGACCCCGAGACCGCTGTGATTGGGGCCGGAGAAGAACGACCCCAGCCTCCTGAAGCAGCGCTTGGGCCACACAACGGAGTCCGCACCAACAGGTTCCAGACAGATATTGTTACAGCCCCCTGTCACCCGAGGTCGGCTTTCCTTCATGACCCAACAGCGGGAAGGGAAATATTTAATTGTATTATTATTATAATAATTGTTATAATTAATAAATATTAATTATAACTAATATTATAATGATCATGTCACATGACACTTTGAAACTACTGTGCTGAAGATTCGAGCCTCTCCCACCTTCTCCATTGTTTCAACAGTCTACCACTGACTGCAAAAGAAAACTTCTCTAATTTGTTTTGGGGGGCACCTTTGTTTTGTTGGCTTGAATTAATGCCTTCTTGTTCAGGAAGTTGCTGGTTTTAGGAATTCATTTTTGTCAATTTTGGTCAATTCCTGTTATTATTTTGTTAATGATGAAATACTTTTTGTTATCTTCTACTTTTGACATATATAATGTGTCTAACCTCTCTTTGCAACTCTTGTTTTGCTTAGTAACTTGTCCAACCACTTAGGGTAGACGGTAGAGCGACAGTCTCGCTTCATGCAGGTCGGCGTTCAATCCCCGACCGTCCAATTGGTTGGGCACCATTCCATCCAACACCACGTCTCATCCCAAATTCCGACCCCTTCCAAATGATATACTGTAGTCGTAAGGGGCTTGGCACTTTGCCACAATAATTCCCAGTTGTTTTTTTTAGTTCTGGAAGCCATTTTTGTAGCATGACTTTGCACCTTTTCCAGTCTACTGATGTGCATTTTGAGATTTAGGCAGCATACAACTGCTGCATATTGAAATTTTGGTCTCAAAAGTTATGAACAGTTTCTTTAGTATTTCACCATCCATGTAATTACAAGTACAGTAATTCTAAAGTTTGAAAGCACGGCATATGCTCCTTGCACAATGTCCTGTATATGTTCCTCGGGTGATAGTCTATTATCCAGAACCACTTCTAGATCTCTTTCTATGTTAGAGTTCTTTTAAGTTCTTTCCACATAATTTGTAGGTTTGTGTGGTCTATTTTCTCCCACTTCACATTCCATAACATGGCATTTAATCACATTGAATTCCAATTGTCTCATGGTGCTCCAAGCACTTATTCGATCCAGGTTGTTTTGAAGGGCATGACAATCGTCTAGGGTTCCCATCTTCCCCCTAGTAGATGATGAACATTACTGGCACAAGAACTGAACCCTGTGGTACTCCTCCAGCTAGATACATTGCCTCTCATTACTGCCCTCATCTTTGTCAGAATTTTTTTCTGACAAGTTTTTTTTAGTGTATAAGTGTATTTGAAATATGCAATAATTGTATGATGCCCATATCTCAAGAAGCACATCTGGAAAAGGTGCAAAGGCATGCTACAAAATGGCTTCTGGAACTAAAAACAAAAGTTATGAAGAGAGGCTAGAGGTATTAAATATGCCAAAGATAGAAAAAAAAAGAGGTGATATGATCACCAGTTACAAAATATTAACAGGAGTCAACCAAATTGACAGGAATTTTTGAAACCTGCTATCTCAAGAACAAGAGGACACGGATTCAAGCTAAAAACACAAAGGTTTCTTTTACAAATTGTGGTAGACAGTTGGAACAAATTAAGTGACAAGGTGGTGGCCAAAACCATGAGTAGTTTCAAAGCATTATATGACAGAGTGCTGGGAAGACGGGACACCAAGAGCGTAACTCTTATCCTGTAACTACACACACTTTTCTGTGTGTGTGGACATACTCACCGACTCGCCTAGTTGTGTTTACAGGGATTGAGTTTTGGCTCTTTGGTCCCGCAGGTCTTGGTCTGTGTGTTTGGATGAACCGGACTTTAGTTTTGTTGACTATTACACCCTACGTTCTTTTTGTTAGGAAATTAAAGATCCATCTCCTTATTTTGCCAGTAATTCCTTCTGGATAGATTTTGTGCAATAACACCATGATCAAATTTATCGAAAGCTCTCATGAAATCTGTTTATATTACATCAACATTGCTAGTATTGTGTACTGTAACTTAGGCCACTAATAACTCACACAGGTACAGTAAACTGTAAACTCAGTATACCTGTGTTAGTTGAACAGTGCGCATTCCTGAAAATGATACATTGTGACAAAACGTCAAATAAAATGGAAAGATTAAGTGATCTAGTGTTTCTTCACCCTCCAGATGGTAGAAGGTATTTGCGTAGTGGAAAATATCCATAAGAAAATTACCAACAGCCACAATGCTGTTGTGTTTAATGGCATGTGTATTAGTTAAAACCTGCTTGCAAAATATATAATATGTATATACTGTATATGTATATTTATAAGAGAATGTGTCTGTCTAAAGTTGGAGGGAAATGGTCTGGGGTATGGGACAGACATGAGTCTACACTAACCAGCCTAAGTTAAATGCTTTATGAAATATTAGCCATTATAACTACCCCTAGGACATTGTCATGGAGTCAAGTGTCATTTTCATGGCGTCATATGGCACGTGATTAGTACGCATTGTTACGAAAAAGAAACTATACTGGATAAAAAAAGAGAGGAAGAGAAAATGCAAAGCATCTGAGATCCATACATTTATATGTTTGGGTGCTTGCAGAAGTGTTTGTCTGCCCGTCTCTCCAAGGTTGGAGGCTAGCCCCACCCACCCTTGAAGAGGACTGGTCCGAGGGTACAGCATGGACATGGGCTAGCTGGACTCATATTGGTCCTATTAAAAGGAGGGTAAGACAAAATAGTAACCCCCCCCCCTCCACACACAAAATATATAAAAGGTCGCTGGCAAAATCCCTAGATTTATTCACTTGAAAGTAAATTCTGTATTAAAAGGAAATGTTTGCAGGCGATGAGTTTGAGTTAAGAGGAAATGTTTATTCAAAGGAGGAGTCCAAATGTGGAAGCAGGGAAAAAAAAAAAGGAGGGGGTACAACCTACCGGTTCAAAATTCAGGGGATCAGCGTCCCTGCGGCCTGGTCTCTGATCAGCCCTCCAGGGGCCAGATTCACGAAGCAGTTACGCAACCTGCTTGATGGGGTTCTGGGAGTTCTTTATTCCCCAAGCCTGGCTTGACTTGTGAGAGTTTGGTCCACCAGGCTGTTGCTTGTTGGTAAGTGCTTGCTTATGCAAGCACTTACATACATCTTTTCTCAATATTTGGCAGCTTTGTTTGCAATTATTAAACAGATAATGAGTTCCGAAGCACCAGGAGGCTGTTTATAACAATAACAACAGTTGATTGGCAAGTTTTCAAGCTTGTAAACTGTTTAATAAATATAACCAAAGCTGTCAAAGATCGAGGAAAGATGTACACGTTTGTAAGTACTTGCATAACTGCTTCGTGAATCTGGCCCCTGGTTGCTGGTCTCATCCACCAGGCAGTTTGATGAGGCTGCTCATAGCCTGGTTAATCAGGTAGGGAGATGACAAGGGGGTAAAGCAGGCGGGAAGAGAGGGAGACAGACAGACTATCCCGGGCATCCCCTCTAGTATACCTTATGTTGGTCCATCTGTCAAACGTTGGAGGCCAGATGCTCGGGGCTAGCCTCACCCAACTTTGACACATGAAGCATGCAGTGTAGGGTAATGTCATAGGCCAGTTGGAGTCGCCTACAGTACCACACATTCAACAAATATTGACATTCAACTTCCCCCCACCATGCAATTTTCGTAAAGTCAAGTCTGACATATTAGCTGTGTTCCCTGTAGACTTACTCAGTGGTTAAGAGTGCTTCATTATATAATTTTTCCGAGAGAAGGAAGGAATGTTTGAAGAGAGGGAAGATGGGGATATTTGAAGAGAATGGAGGAGAGGAGGGAAGAGATGTGAGAGGGGAAAGATGTGGGAGAGGCAGGAGATTGGGTCCAGATAAAAAGAAAGAGGAAGAGAGAGACAAGTCAACCAAGTACAGGTTAATAGATCACTGGTACAACTTTGTTCCAATAGGATCCGAGACCCTAGGCCCATGGGGAGAGAGTGCAATTAGATTTCTTAAGGATCTTGGTTCCAGGCTCATTGACACTACAAGAAACCCTAGAGCAGCAAGTTTTCTCTTCCAGTGCCTCAGTGTTGCGATCCAGAGGGAAAATACCCGCTGCATCCTCGATTCCTGCCTAGTGTTCGAAGAAATCTACAGCCCCCTTATTTCCTCTCACTGTTCAATTTTTGTAAACATTGGATATGTAACTGTATAACCCTGTATAATAAAGTGTACAACATAAAAAAGGAGGGTGGTAGGAGAAGTGAAACTCATACGTATTTAGAGTTAAATGGCAAGTTTTCTCTGCATGCTCTGTGTTCCTTTCTTTGAGGCTATGGGTCCCTACAATTGCACCAAGAGGTGGTAACCCCCCCCCCTTATATATATATGTATATATATGTATATATATATATATATATATATATATATATATATATATATATATATATATATATATATATATATATATATATATATAAATTAAAATTCCTGATTTGAATGTTTATTTCCTTAATTTCCAATATAGAGTACGATAGCCTTGGCAAAGGAAACAAAAACTTTAGAGAATAGTTTATGAGGTGACAGACATTTCAAATGATGTGTAATTTAATGCTCAGAAATACCAGCTCCGGTCTCTCGACCTATTACATCTTTCTCCTTCACACTAGTTTGATTTTGACCGACATTATGGCCAGCAAGAAATAAATGATTCTAGCTTATCACTTACTGAAATTATATTGGACAAATTAACAAAATGCACCATCAAGATAAATAATCTAAACCTATTGTATACAAGATTATTCACATCTATTATACTTTGGTCAAACATATTTCCTTTCCTTTGAGAACCTCATTTAGAACAATGTACATGCACTTCCCTGCACCACCACCACCACCACCACCACTCGCCATTAACAGTGACTCACAGTGACCGCAGTAGCAAGTCTGAGTATCAACCTGTATTTAATATCAAGATACATTAAGCTGGAGAAGCCCTTTGTATACAATCAATAAAGAATGCCACTACAGTACATCATATGTGAAGAAGAATGCACCTTAAAAAGACTAATGTACCTCCTACTATAGGTAACTGGGGGGTCAAACCGCCAATGAACATCTAGGTGTTGATTCTGAAAAACTGGATTTGTAATCCTCAACAGTCACAACATTATCTAAACCAAAAATATAGAGATTAAATACTGATTGCTTATACTACTTGAATGTTTTTTCTTTGTCTTGTTGTAGAGGTGATGAGTTTCACATAATGCACTTAAGTCTGACATTGGAGTGGCAATTGTTCACGGTTCTAAACTGGAGGCAAATACTTGCTTATGAATTTCTTGACGTCTGCCATTTCCTGAAAGTAATGAATAATATTTTACTTTTTTTTTTTTTTTAGCAGTCAAGCCGGTAAGCCACCAGCCACTTGGTGTACAGTAGCACTTTCTACACGCAACATCAATCTTTATATTTTCACTTTTCCATAGCACATCAACTATAATACACAGCAGGCATGTCAAACTTAGGGTCCCCCCAGGGCCATGTGGGTCACATTTATGTTATGTGAGGGCCACACACAACTAATTGAAGTCATTTAATAAAAATTATTGCAGAATATGTGTTTTATTATATATTATATTATATTAGAGTATATACCAAATTACAGTATCCTTTGTGTGGGCTGCAGGTATGCTTGCAAAAGGCCACATGCTGCCTGCGGGCCGCAGGTCTGCTTGTAAATGGCCGCACGCTGCCCGCGCCCGGGCATCATGTTTGACGTGCCTGATATATAGCATTGTGCCCGAGTCCCATACAAAATACTGAGGTTGCATGAATATCTAACTGATAAATAAATATTATCTAATGATACACGAAACTTTACTGATAAATAATCCAGTGTCTTGGCTTGATCTGGAAAATTTATCTCGGCTAAATTTTTATCACACACCTTTTAATGTATAATATTGCAACACAAGTTATCATTAAAACATGCACTTGCAACACTGGCCACATCTTAATTACCTTGCCTCTGAAGCAACCCAACAAAGACAATTATCTTACCTTGCTTCTGAAGCAACCAATGGAAGACAATTACCTTGCTACTGAAGTAACCCATGGAAGACAATTACCTTGCTACTGAAGTAACCCATAGAAGACAATTACCTTGCTACTGAAGCAACCCATAGAAGACAATTACCTTGCTACTGAAGTAACCCGTGGAAGACAATTACCTTGCTACTGAAGTAACCCATGGAAGACAATTACCTTGCTACTGAAGCAACCCATGGAAGACAATTACCTTGCTACTGAAGTAACCCATGGAAGACAATTACCTTGCTACTGAAGCAACCCATAGAAGACAATTACCTTGCTACTGAAGTAACCCATGGAAGACAATTATCTTGCTACTGAAGTAACCTGTGGAAGACAATTACCTTGCTACTGAAGTAACCCATGGAAGACAATTACCTTGCTACTGAAGTAACCCGTGGAAGACAATTACCTTGCTACTGAAGTAACCCATGGAAGACAATTACCTTGCTACTGAAGTAACCCATGGAAGACAATTACCTTGCTACTGAAGCAACCCATGGAAGACAATTACCTTGCTACTGAAGTAACCCATGGAAGACAATTATCTTGCTACTGAAGTAACCCATGGAAGACAATTACCTTGCTACTGAAGTAACCCGTGGAAGACAATTACCTTGCTACTGAAGCAACCCATGGAAGACAATTACCTTGCTACTGAAGTAACCCATGGAAGACAATTATCTTGCTACTGAAGTAACCCATGGAAAACCTTGCTATGGTACACATGATTCATGGTATGGTTTTGCAGGACAAAATACTAATGAAACAAAGTGTTGCCTGTACCACTATCAGAGTCATCCCAGTCATTTAGCTTTTTATTAATGTTGTCATCTGCAAGTGACAGAAACAAGCACGCTGAAGCACCGGGTGGGGAGCTCCAGCCACAGTTGCCAACCATGGTTGCTATCTGGTTGATGGGGTTCTGGGAGTTCTTCTACTCCCCATGCCCGGCCCGAGGCCAGGCTTGACCTATGTTCAAACTACCATCCTGTAGTCAAAGGGGTGTACCTATTTTTTTGTTCTCAAAGACTGCAACTATTGACTAGAAGCCTGAGGTAACAGATGTGACCCCCATGTGCCCATAGAAATTAAAAAAATTGTAGGGGGAAGGGGGGCTAAAAAATCTGGGGAGGCTATGCACAATGCAAAGGTTATGGGTACAAAAACACTACACCCTGAAAACTGGGAATAGATAGAATAGATTTCGGAATAAATCAAGAAAACGAATGCTAACCTCTTCAGAGGAGGAGTGCATCATGCCTCGGTAAGTCTTGAACTCAATATTGCCGGCAAACTTCTTGATAATTTGACTGGTTATTTGGCCAAACTTGTACGGTACTATGGGGTCACAATCCCCATGACACTGCAGGATTGGCGAGCCCGTGTTGCTTATTGCGGCCTGGGGAAGTATATTAATGTTAGTCTCAACAATTATATTATTTTATATTTTCCAAACATACAGGTAAACACAACATACAACTGTCAGGGAGTAAAGTCAAGCACCACAACACCCACATCTGTCAGGGAGTAAACTATCTGTCATCTACAGCAACATCGCATAACTTTGTCAACATATCTCTATGAAAACTTGCCTGAGGAAATTCCTCTCTTAACGGCAGCCAGCACGAGAGCCCCACGACCCCCGCCAGCGTCCTGGTGTGAGTGAAGGTGGAATAGAGCGCCAAAGCACCACCTTGGCTGAAGCCTCCCAGCATAATTCGCTCATGTGGAATGCCATTTTTTACCTCTTCTTCAATAAGATGGTGAATGCCATCTCTTGCTTTCTTAATACCATCCCCATCTTCTGGACCATCCACATCCAGGGACTTTAAGTCAAACCTAAAATACCATACAAAAATTTAAGGTTTTTAGGGGGAAAGGACAATTATATATTTTAATCATGATTAAAACACCGATACTGTACTTTCAATTTTCAGTAATTGAATCTATATGTAAAGGAAAGTGGTTAGTATTAGAGCAAACCCAGAACACTCGTGCAAATCATCATGTATTAATAACAATTCAAACAATACAATGGAATCAAACCCACATTTCTGAACATAGCACACGCACCACCGACTGGACCATGATGGGCTTAAAAGCATCTCAATCACAAGTGCTACTAACTTGGAGTCTGGAAGGCACAACCCAGTACCATAATCAAAGTCTTACTAGACATCCGTTCACATTCAGATTGCGGTAGTGATGTTCCCCCATCTCCCGCTCCCATCAATAATACCCGCCTACACTCAGGTGTTGGGTGGCGATGCTCCCCATCTCCCGCTCCCATCTATAATACCTGCCCACACTCAGGTGTTGGGTGGTGATCCCCATCTCCCGCTCCCATCAATAATACCCGCCTACACTCAGGTGTTGGGTGGTGATGCTCCCCATCTCCCGCTCCCATCAATAATACCCACCCACACTCAGGTGTTGGGTGGCGATGCTCCCCATCTCCCGCTCCCATCAATAATACCCGCCCACACTCAGGTGTTGGGTGGTGGTGATCCCCATCTCCCGCTCCCATCAATAATACCCGCCCACACTCAGGTGTTGGGTGGTGATCCCCATCTCCCGCTCCCATCAATAATACCCGCCAACACTCAGGTGTTGGGTGGTGATGCTCCCCATCTCCCGCGCCCATCAATAATACCCGCCCACACTCAGGTGTTGGGTGGTGGTGATCCCCATCTCCCGCTCCCATCAATAATACCCGCCCACACTCAGGTGTTGGGTGGTGATGCTCCCCATCTCCCACTCCCATCAATAATACCCGCCCACACTCAGGTGTTGTGGTCAGGTGTCGGGTGGCGATGCTCCCCATCTCCCGCTCCCATCAATAATACCCGCCCACACTCAGGTGTTGGGTGGTGATGCTCCCCCATCTCCCGCTCCCATCAATAATACCCGCCCACACTCAGGTGTTGGGTGGTGGTGCTCCCCATCTCCCGCTCCCATCAATCACATACCGTTAACGACCCCCCTGAGGTCATCATGAGAATTTCACCTTGCTTCCGCTAAGCGTATAATTGGAGCCGGGTAGCCTTCAAACATGCCGACGTTTAAGGAGTGGCTTGGTAGTGCCGGAGGCTATCTACTTGTGGGCGGAGTTAGCTACTAGGTTCCCCAATATAAACTCGGAGAGCTATCAACTACAGACCCCCCCCCTCTCTATCCAGCTATAGGCAGAGACACTTGGTGAGTTGAGCATTAAGGTCCATTGTAACGGGGGGTGGGGGAAATAGCTCTATCTTGTCCATTATTCCACCCCCCAGTTAACTAACGAAGCCGGGGGAAACAGCTCTCTCTAGTCCGTTATCCCGTCCCCAGTTAGCTAACTATTCTAGAGCACCTCCAGAGTTCCTAAGGCAACCTCTCTCGTTCAACACCTTGTAACCTAGGTATTCGACTACCTAGGTGCTAAGAATACAAGGCGCCGTCACTTGATCAGTTACCCGAAACTCTAGAGAGAACTCTAGAATACAGAATCATTGCCACAAACGTATAAGAGAAAACGAAAGGAAAGAAATGAATAGTGAAGTAATTAGTGAGGGTTTGGGGTGAGAGAGGTGAGAGGTGGGAGGAGCGAGGAGGGTCATCAATAATACCCGCCCACACTCAGGTGTTGTTATCATGGTGGTGGTGCTCCCCATCTCCCGCTCCCATCAATAATACCCGCCTACACTCAGGTGTTGGGTGGTGGTGCTCCCCATCTCCCGCTCCCATCAATAATACCCGCCCACACTCAGGTGTTGGGTGGTGGTGCTCCCCATCTCCTGCTCCCATCAATAATACCCGCCCACACTCAGGTGTTGGGTGGTGATGCTCCCCATCTCCCGCTCCCATCAATAATACCCGCCCACACTCAGGTGTTGGGTGGTGATGCTCCCCCATCTCCCGCTCCCATCAATAATACCCGCCCACACTCAGGTGTTGGGTGGTGATGCTCCCCCATCTCCCGCTCCCATCAATAATACCCGCCCACAAAAGGGTTAGGGCTTAACTGCAGTATGTTCAATGGGAGACTGAAATGGAAGATAAGTCAGCAAATGTGATGATGGAACTCATAACACACACTAATGCAAAGAAGCAGCAGCATTCACAATCGACTTGAGAATGGTCCAGGACGGACCGAAACGTCGTCGTCCCTTCAATTTCTAGTGTGTGGTCTGGTCAACAAGCAGCAGACAATTCATACCTCTCAGCAGGGAAGTGGACAAAAGGTAAACAACAAACCCACGATTCAACAGCGTAAGGAGGGGAAAAAAAAGAGGACAAACGAGGCATTGAAATAGTACAGGGATATGGATACAGTTGGCACATAAAACGGGCCAGAAATGAGTGCATCAGAATCAGGTGGCCAGCATAGCAGCAGTTTGAGAATGACACCAGCAAACAACCAAAGAGCCACCCTAAACTGTTACACAGTCACACACCGAGAAAAAATAATGGTACGAAATCATGTTGACCAGACCACACACTAGAAGGTGAAGGGACGACGACGTTTCGGTCCATCCTGGACCAGTGTGTGGTCTGGTCAACATACTTCAGCCACGTTATTGTGACTCATCGCCTGCGTACGAGACCATGTGACCAGACTGCAGGGGTCAGGGAGCAACATTCTCCAGCCCTGTGGAGAATGACAAAGAAGTATGTGAGGAACTGAACAAGGAGTAGGGAGATAACTCTAACTTCCTAACAGAGCCCAAAGTGTAAAAGTCAACAAAGTCAAATCTGGATCGTCCACTGTGAAAAGCTGTCCTCCAAGGTACTGTGCTTATTATGGTACTTTTCTCATCCTCATATGAGACATAGACAAGAATAGAAACTATAGCACTGTCATCCTTTGCAGATGACACGAGGATGTTCACGAGAGTAGCCAATAAGGATGACATAGCAACCCTCCAATCTAATGTTAATCAAGTCTTTCAATGGGCCACAGAAAATAATATGATATTTAACGAGGATAAGTTCAGCACTGCACTATGAAAACAGCAAAAAATATATACACTGAAACACACACAAACTCAGTGACAATGCTCCACTTTTTCCAGGAAGACCCTGAAAGCCTACCCGGGTGCCAAGGCCTCCTGATTGTTATAGCCGGGATTGAAATCATGTAGTGCAGTAATTAGTGTGTTGATGAGTAAGTATTGATTTCAGTTATTTGCTGTGTTCACTTACTATTAGCAAACAATGTAAAGGAGGGAAGAATGTGATACAGGTATTTAGAAATGTCTTATCCACTAGATAATATTATATATTATATATATATATTCTAGATAATATTCATTTGTCTTTGTTGACGAGTTCATTCTGTTGATTTGTAATTCCCTCATTATACGTCTGATTTGTGTTATTTCAGATATCATGCAGGGAACCACGTAAATTAAAGCTGTGAAAACTGTATTCAAGTATACGATTATATATGTATTATATAATCTATATAATATAGTATATGATTATATATGATTAGTATATGATTATTTACCTCCAGCTACTCAACTCTGTGAATATAACATCTGCATTTAATTTTTCCCACACTTGCGTGATTTTGTCACCGTGGTCGAGTTAACTGCAAAAGGGCAGGATCTTCCCGCTCTAAATTGATAAATATTTGTACTCACCCTAATACTGTTATTTTATTCCAACAAGCATGAAATTGTTGAAGCTGTATTAGTAGTAGTGTGAACTTTGTGTTGAGACACACCACTGTACTTACCAAGATGGCATCCTGAACCCAGCATTCAGTGATACCGGCATCACTTGCCTGCAAAAACACACACATTTTATTAAACTTTATTTAATTTGTACCAGAAGAATGGGCTATAATATCTTGAGTTGACTTTCTAATTAATTTTGATATAAAAATGATTAAGCTACCAATGTTCCTAACAAAAATACAATTTAAAAAGAATTGTTTAAATTTTAATTATTTTATAGTAAAAAAACACATACTGTACCTTAAAAAAAAAGTTAATGTAATGGGTACATAATAACCATTACATATAATGGTTGTTATAATTATAATTACATTACAAGTAATTAATGTAATAACCTTTTTCAGGTTAAGCCCAAGTGGCTGATTGGAGCTCACTCACCGAGATGGCTCCCAACTACTGTACTGTACTAAGTCCCGCCAGCCATAGAGTCTCCTAGGCCTACTCGGGAAGAGAGCACCTGGCCCCCTCCGTCACAGAGATGCAGAGAGAAGGTGACACTCCGCCACCCCCACTGGAAAGCATCCAGAATGCCAGTGAACAAATACCGACACTTGCCGAGTACAAAGAGAGGAAACCTTCGAAACTACCAAACAAACTTCCCCAAATACTGGAAAAAACAACAACCGAATCTCTTGAAACTAGCACAAGCTTGTTAACAATGATTGTTCAGTCATCTTGGTGTACAGGAGTCTTGGTAGATGTATGGAAAAATGTTAATATACTTAAAATATATAAAAGTGGCAGAAAGGTAGGGAACCATCAGTATACAGAATATGATTTGAGAGAGAGAATGCTCAGTGGACAAAGCATCAATATGGCTTAATTAACACTATTGCCTTTCGTAGTTGATAGTTTGTGGGCGATAGTGTTAACACTATCGCCTATTGTAGTTGAACTTTGCCTCAAGATGAAGCTTGAGTCAATCTCTAATTTGCTTCTTGGGTGGAAAGGGAGGGATTAAAATTGGAAAGAGTGTAATCTTCCACAGTGCAGGAAAGTGCCGTTGCTGTCTCTCTTTGGTACAAATTATAAATCTGACACATTCTGAGTTCAGTTCCAGTTTTAGTTATCCAATTAGTAAAATGTTGACCTTCAATAAAGCGATTCTGGAGGGCTTCTGTGTAAGGGTTAGGATGAGCTAGCCTAAGCAGCACCGCAGAGCAGGGACACTTCAAGAGATACCGCGGAGCAGAGCGCGGTGTCCATGGCTCCGGGACAGAGCACGGTATCAATGGCGCCAGAGCAGAGTACAGTGTTGGGGCGCCGCAGCAGAGCGCAGTCCCTGGCAAAGAGAAACAAACAAAACAAGGACCCAAAATCTGTCAGTATTACAAATTAGGTAACTGTAAGCATGGGATATCGTGAAGAACAAATGTAACATGTAAGTATGATCACCCTAGAAAGTGCAGACACCACCTCAATACAGGGAAATGTACCAAAAGCTGTGAATTCTTTCACCCAGAATTTTGCAAGAACTCTTTAGATAGGAAAGAATGCTTCAATACGGAATGTCCAGCTTTTCATATAAGAAGTACCAGGCGAATAAAACCGACAGACTGCCACTATGAAAACAGCCACAACTTCATCGACCAGGATGATTTTTTACCAAGAGAAAGCGGAGAAGAATGGTTTAAAATGTCCAGACTCTACCACCATCTCGGTCAAATCCTAGAGAGGACGCAAACATGTGGGCTCCCTACCAGAGATATTAACACCAAGTAAAGCATCCAGCACTTCCAGAAACACGATAACATCATTTATATTTGCCAACATCCAGGGTATAAAAATGCAAATCTAACAAAGTTCATTTTATAGATGGTCTCCTTCATGAGGCAAATACAGTGCTTGCAGCCCTAACGGAAACTCACACAAAGGACTACCATGATGGTGAAATATGGATCTTATATACAATCTTTTCAGAAGTGACAGGAAACACAGACTACAGGGTGGGGTCAGCCTGTGCATCAAGGACACACTCATCTGTACTGAGCTGCTAAACACCACAAACGATATGGTGGAAGTGCTGATAATCAAAATAGAGATCCTAAATGTTGTTATTGTCCTTGTATATAAGTCACTGGAGGCAAACCCTCAGCAGTTTAAAGACCAACTAATGAAAATAGAACACTGCTTGGAAAACCTCACAAATCCAACCCCGAACAACATCCTGCTTGGGGACTTCAACCTACGGCACCTAAAATTGAAGCACCTGGCTAATACAGTATTATCAGAAAGAATACCAGGAAGTAGCCTAATGAACAGGCACATGCAAATGACCTGCTACGGATGTGCGACAGGTTTGCCTTTAACCAGCAAATAGTAGAACTAACTAGGAAGGGAAACACGCAGGACCTCATTTTCACCAATAATGATGAATTGATCAGGAACATAATGATTACAAATACCTGTTGCTCAGATTACAATTGAAGTTCTGACAAGCATGGGGAATAGACCTGCAAAACCAGTCCCAATTCCCAGTGGAGGAGATTTTAGCAAATTCAACTTCAATAATAAACAGATAAACTGGGAGCAAATAAACCAAGACTTCACAGAAATAAGCTGGGAAGAACAGCTAGAAAATGCAAACCTGAACCAGTGCCTGGAAAAAAATAATATCAGTAGCACTAGAAATATGCTTAAACCGCATACCCCTAAGAAAAAGGAGGAAGAGATGCAGATTGGAACGGGAACGTTGTTTCCTCTATAGGCGAAGAAAACAAATCGCGGAACAGCTTGAGAGTAGCACCCTATCTCAAGAACGGAGAAGGTTAGGTAGAGAAATAGAAACAATTGAACTCAAGCTACAAGAATCATACAAAACCCAGGATAGGCAAAGAGAGCAAAAGGCCATCAGTGAAATAAAAAAACAAAAACAAAATATTTTTTCTCCTATGCAAAATCAAGATAAAAAAACCACATCTAGTATCGGGCCCCTGCGAAAGGGAGATGGAACTTTCACCGATGACAACAAAGAAATGAGCGAGTTACTGAGGAAGCAGTACGACTCTGTTTTCAGTGAGTCACTAAACACACTAAAGATTGATAACCCAAATGAATTTTTCATGGGTATGATACCAACATCAAATCATATCTCAGATATCACCATATCCCCACTGGATTTCGAGCAAAGCCATAAACAGTATGCCTATGCACTCTGCACCAGGCCCGGATTCTTGGAACTCCATAATCATCAAGAACTGGAAAAAACCACTATCGCAGGCCCTTCACATTCTTTGGAGACAAAGCCTAGATACTGGCGTTATTCCTGATATACTAAAAGCAGCAGAGATAGCATCACTCCATAAAGGAGGAAATAAGGCAGAGGTAAAAAATTACAGACCGATTGCACTAACATCGCACATCATAAATATCTTTGAGAGTGCGCTAAGAAGTAAGATTACAAAATACATGGAATCACAGCAGCTCCATAACCCCGGACAACATGATTTCAGAACAGGCCGCTCTTGCCTGTCGCAGTTGCTGGACCACTATGACATGGCATTAGATGCCATGGAAGACAAACAAAACGCAGATGTAATTTACACAGATTTCGCAAAAGCTTTTGATAAATGTGACCATGGTGTTATTGCACATAAAATACGTTCAATAGGAATTACCGGAAAAATAAGCAGATGGATCTACAATTTCCTGACCAACAGAACCCAATGCGTAATAGTCAACAAAATAAAATCCGGTCCATCAACTGTGAAGAGCTCAATCCCCCAGGGTGCTGTGCTTGCTCCAGTACTTTTTCTCATCCTCATATCGGACATAGACAAGAACACAACCTATAGCACTGTATCATCCTTTGCAGATGACACTAGGATCTTCATGAGAGTAGGCAACATAGAGGACACGGCAAACCTCCAGTCAGATGTAGATCAGGTCTTTCTATGGGCTACAGAAAATAATATGGTGTTTAACGAAGACAAGTTCCAGCTCATGCGCTATGGAAAAAATGACAATATAAAAACGGAAACCACGTACAAAACTCAGGCAAATCATGACATAGAACGAAAAGGCAATGTAAAGGATCTGGGTGTACTCATGTCGGAAGACCTTACCTTTAAAGAACACAATAAAGTAGCCGTCACAACTGCAAGAAAAATGACAGGTTGGATAACAAGAACTTTTCACACTAGAGATGCTATACCGATGATGACACTTTTCAAAACGCTTGTGCTCTCTAGAGTGGAGTACTGCTGCACAATGACAGCCCCTTTCAAAGCTGGAGAAATTGCCGACCTGGAGAGCGTGCAGAGATCCTATACTGCTAGAATTCACTCAGTAAAACACCTAAACTATTGGGACCGACTAAAGAGCCAAAATCTGTACTCCCTTGAACGCAGGCGGGAGAGATATATAATAATTTACACGTGGAAAATGTTAGAGGGGCTGGTCCCAAACCTACACACAGAAATATCATCACATGAGACCAGAAGACATGGCAGGATGTGCAGAATACCCCCGTTAAAAAGCGGAGGTGCAACAGGTACTCTGAGAGAGAACTCTATCAACATCAGAGGCCCGAGACTGTTCAACACGCTTCCGCTACACATAAGGGGCATAACTGGCCGACCCCTCACAGTGTTCAAGAGAGAACTGGATAAGCACCTCCAAAGGATACCTGATCAACCAGGCTGTGACTCATACGTCAGGCTGCGAGCAGCCGCGTCCAACAGCCTGGTTGATCAGTCCAGCAACCAGGAGGCCTGGTCGACGACCGGGCCGCGGGGACGCTAAGCCCCGGAAGCACCTCAAGGTAACCTCAAGGTAAGGTAGCATACCCAGTGGTGTGTGCATCATTATATCATCAGCATAGCTGGTTATGTGCATATTGGGTGTGCTCGGTACAGAGTTTAACTGTGTTTATTAAGCTAAGACACATGGTGAGTGGTGTTTGTCAGGTAATTTACTTCTGTGTTCCTATATTATATGTTTTGTGAAATCTCGGGGGCAGTCAGTCGTACAGTGTCTCGGTTTCCCGTCTCAGTTTCCCGTCTCAGTTTCCCGTTTCAGTTTCCCGTCTCAGTTTCCCGTTTCAGTGACTCCACTACTATTGGCCATTTAATCAAACTTGATATGTGTAAAGGATAGAATAAAATGCCAACCTGCATTGTTAAGGCATCATTACAATATACTGTATATAAATATATGTCTATTTTTGACTTATGAATGGCTGATAACCTAAGATCTTGGATTTATTCTACAATCATATAAGCTAACTACCTATCTACCTTGTGGTAGTTCTGAGGATCAACGTCCCCGCAGCTCGGTTTCTGACCAGGCCTCCTGGTTGGTCGTCTGGTCAACCAGGCTGTTGAAAGCAGCTGCTTGCAGCCTAACATGCGAATCCCGGCCAGGTTGCAGGTGATGAGTCACAATAATGTGGCTGAAGTATGTTGACCAATCCACACATTGGAAAATGAAGGGACGACGACGTTTCGGTCCATCCTGGACCATTCTCAAGTCGATTGTGTCAAGACAATTGACTTGAGAATGGTCCAGGATGGACCGAAACGTCATCGTCCCATCATTTTCTAGTGTGTGGATTGTTCAACATACTCCAGCCAGGTTGATCAGGTACCATTTGGAGGAATTTATTGGGTTCTCAAACACTGTGAAAGGCCGGCCAGTTATACCCCTTATGTTCTGAGGAAAAGTGTTGGAAAGTCTTGGATCTTTGATGATGATCGAGTTCTCTCTCTGAGTACCTATTGTACCTCTACATTTCAATGGCACTATTTTGCACATCTTGACATGCCTACCGGTTTTATGTGATGTTATTTCCATGCGCAGATTTAGAATCAGTCCCTCTAATATTTTCCATATTTAAATTATTACGCATCTCTCCCTCTCGCCTGTGCTCTAGAGAACACAGATTTAGAACTTTTAATCAGTCCCAATAATTTAGATGTTTTATGAGTGGAGTCTAGCAGTAATTCTAGCTTTGAATGGGGCTACTTGTTGAAAATTTCAAGGATCAAAGTCCCTGTGGCCCGGTCTCTGACCAGGCCTCTTGAGTGCTGGCCTGATCAACCTGGCCATTTGATGAGGTTGCTTACAACATGATGTACAAGTCACAGCCTGGTTGATCAAGTATCCTTTGAAGGCGCTTGTTGAGTTCTCTTTTGAACACGGCTGGAAGTCGGCTAGTGAACTTTGTGTGTGGTGAGCCAACAGCTGCCATTGTACAACACTTACGCTGTAGGACATATGAGCTTTATGTGTGCCAACAGTTGCCATTGTACAATACTTACGCTGTAGGACATATGAACTTGATGTGTGGCGAGCCAACAGCTGCCATTGCACTTGCCCAGCCATGACTGCAAAAAGTAAATGATATACTATAAGTAGTGGTATGGAAATTGACACTATACATACATCTACAATATCAGAGCAGGCAACAATGTACACGTGATACTAGGTAATACCAACACCAAGCTGAACTAGTCCCATTCACCTTATGCAGGGTGCATTAAAGAGGTGATGCATAAAGCCATCCATATAATTTTGTTAAGGATCTTGTGGGAAAAGTTAGTTTCAAAACAAAGTTTTATTAAATACAAAAACGAATGCATTAATGTACATTTATCAATTTTATTGACTATCATTAAACAATTGATTAAATATTTACTCCAGTATGTAATTTTTCTTGGACTGTACCTGATTTTTTTTCTTAATAAGAACCAGAAGAATAAAGATGACCAAACTACAACTCGGAAGATGGAGCAGCGACAACGTTTCAGTTCATCTTATCTTGAGGTTATCTTGAGATGATTTCGGGGCTTTAGTGTCCCAGCGGCCCGGTCCTCGACCAGGCCTCCACCCCCAGGAAGCAGCCCGTGACAGCTGACTAACACCCAGGTACCTATTTTACTGCTAGGTAACAGGGGCATAAGGTGAAAGAAACTCCGCCCATTGTTTCTCGCCGGCACCCTGGATCGAACCCGGGACCACAGGATCACAAGTCCAGCGTGCTGTCCGCTCGGCCGACCGGCTCCTGGATCAAAACGTCGTCGCTTCTCCATCTTCTGGGTTGTGGTTTGGTCATTTTTTCAGCTACATTATCGCGACTCAGCGTCTACAGTAGAATACAGTATTTTATTAATGTTCTTTGTGGATTTAGCTTGCTATAAATCAAGTGCAGACTGTATTGAAATGCCTTTCTCGGGTGGGACATTCAGTGGGTCTGCACATTAAGGTCTGGATTAGCCAAGCCTTGGGGAGCTGCACCAAGCCTCCAAGACCCACCCTTGCTTACCAGTATCAAAATACTGTATAGCTTACTTTACCAGGCTAGGAAAGCTTGGGGTGATTAATTAACCATCTACCAAATAGAGGAGAGGAAAAAAGCCTAAGCACAACAGAGGTAAACACCTCTGTTCCTTCTAACAGAGACGTTAGAAGGAACTTCTTCAGTGTCAGAGTAGTTAACGGATGGAATGCATTAGGCAGTGATGTGGTGAAGGCTGACTCCATACACAGTTTATAATGTAGATATGATAGAGCCCAGTAGGCTCAGGAACCTGTACACCAGTTGATTGACAGTTGAGAGGTGGGACCAAAGAGCCAAAACTCAACCCTCGCAAGCACAAATAGGTGAGTGCAAATAGGTGAGTACCAAGATTATGAAAGTATGAAAGAAATTAGGTACCCGAAGGAACCGAGGCAGACTGCATAGGACTCAGAGTTAAAGGTATCATCAACCCAACAGGCAGCATAGCAGCGGCAGAAAGAATGATCATCTGTAGTAATGCATAAACGATGAACACCCTTCAAACTTGCATGTGGAAAGTGAGGGCTCAACAGGTTAAACCAACTATGCCAAATACGCACGAGGGGATTACCAGGGGCCTGAAGGCAGCTAACCAAGCAGAACACCCAGTGACTGAAGACAGCTAACCAATCAGGATACCCAGTGACTGAAGGCAGCTAACCAATCAGGATACCCAGTGACTGAAGACAGCTAACCAATCAGGACACCCAGTGACTGAAGACAGCTAACCAATCAGGATACCCAGTGACTGAAGGCAGCTAACCAAGCAGGACACCCAGTGACTGAAGACAGCTAACCAATCAGGATACCCAGTGACTGAAGACAGCTAACCAATCAGGATACCCAGTGACTGAAGACAGCTAACCAATCAGGATACCCAGTGACTGAAGGCAGCTAACCAAGCAGAACACCCAGTGACTGAAGACAGCTAACCAAGCAGGACACCCAGTGACTGAAGACAGCTAACCAATCAGGACACCCAGTGACTGAAGACAGCTAACCAATCAGGATACCCAGTGACTGAAGGCAGCTAACCAAGCAGGACACCCAGTGACTGAAGACAGCTAACCAATCAGGATACCCAGTGACTGAAGACAGCTAACCAATCAGGATACCCAGTGACTGAAGACAGCTAACCAATCAGGATACCCAGTGACTGAAGGCAGCTAACCAAGCAGAACACCCAGTGACTGAAGACAGCTAACCAAGCAGGACACCCAGTGACTGAAGACAGCTAACCAATCAGGATACCCAGTGACTGACGACAGCTAACCAATCAGGATACCCAGTGACTGAAGACAGCTAACCAATCAGGATACCCAGTGACTGAAGGCAGCTAACTAATCAGGATACCCAGTGACTGAAGGCAGCTAACCAAGCAGGACACCCAGTGACTGAAGGCCGCTAACCAAGCAGAGCACCCAGGACCTGAAGGCCGCTAACCAAACAGAACACCCAGTGACTGAAGGCAGCTAACCAAGCAGAACACCCAGTGACTGAAGGCAGCTAACCAAGCAGAACACCCAGGACCTGAAGGCCGCTAACCAAGCAGAACACCCAGTGACTGAAGGCCGCTAACCAAACAGAACACCCAGTGACTGAAGGCCGCTAACCAAGCAGAACACCCAGTGACTGAAGGCCGCTAACCAAACAGAACACCCAGTGACTGAAGGCCGCTAACCAAGCAGAACACCCAGTGACTGAAGGCCGCTAACCAAGCAGAACACCCAGGACCTGAAGGCCGCTAACCAAGCAGAACACCCAGTGACTGAAGGCCGCTAACCAAGCAGAACACCCAGTGACTGAAGGCCGCTAACCAAGCAGAACACCCAGTGACTGAAGGCCGCTAACCAAGCAGAACACCCAGTGACTGAAGGCAGCTAACCAAGCAGAACACCCAGTGACTGAAGGCCGCTAACCAAGCAGAACACCCAGGACCTGAAGGCCGCTAACCAAGCAGAACACCCAGTGACTGAAGGCCGCTAACCAAGCAGAACACCCAGTGACTGAAGGCAGCTAACCAAGCAGAACACCCAGGACCTGAAGGCAGCTAACCAAGCAGAACACCCAGGACCTGAAGGCAGCTAACCAAGCAGAACACCCAGTGACTGAAGGCCGCTAACCAAGCAGAACACCCAGTGACTGAAGGCCGCTAACCAAGCAGAACACCCAGTGACTGAAGGCCGCTAACCAAGCAGAACACCCAGTGACTGAAGGCAGCTAACTAATCAGGACACCCAAGACCAGACATTTTGAGAAAGAACCCGGAGCACATGCAGTCCAAAGCACAACAATGCAGATAGAAAACACTCGTGAAGCAAAAACTAAAATACAGAACAAAGTACAAAGCAAAAGGTCCCTGCTGGAACAACTCCAAGGAAGGCCGACATTTAGCTTGAAGCAGAGGGACTTGCCATGTCTGAAAGACCCAGAACACTGCTGTCCAGCAGACATCAATCGAAGAACTGATCAGGTGAGATCAGAAGCTGGGCCACCTAGTGGTTTCATTCAGTACTATGAGTTTTGTGCTAATCTGGAATGTTTCTCTTGTTATGTGTGAATCGTATGCAGAGTTGTTTGGGGGTTTCGATGCTTCAGCCTTTGTTAACCCTCCAGTTGTCTAAAATGTTTTGCCGACAGTGGATGCTTTCCCGGTGTGGTGGTAAAAGATCCCTAGCGCTCTGTGCCTCTGTGAGGGAACCAGGCTTTGGCTCTAGTGCCTGGTAGGCCAAACGGAACTCCCGCGTCTAATGTGACCAATTTGCATGGAGCAATATCGGCAAGTTATTTTCAGGGAACCATTACGGGCTCTCCCAATAAACTGACAGGTCCGGTCCCAAAGATGTACAATGAAATTACAACATACTGGAGTAAGAGATATAATTAAGTACAAAATAAATAAAATTATGAGAGTTCTGGGCACAATCAGAGCCTTAAATTACTAGTTACAGCCTCACTGTAAACATCATCAGGCCAGACTGTAATAGGAAACTCCTATCAAAGTTGTCCATACATAATCCACAGGTAAATAATACAACAAATGCAAGAGGGTTATTGCATCAACATCAGTAAGAGGGTTATTGTAGTGTTATTGCATTGAGGGAATCTACTATGCCGGAATAAAATGATAGCAAATTTGTTCAACATGAACAGCCATTTGTAAAACCATGTTGTGAATCACTTATTAATTTATGTTTTTCAAGTTGAAGACAAATGGTATTTGCCATTATTGATTCAAGTAACTTTCCCACAATAAATGTTAAGCTAATTAACCGATAGTTTGACGCACATGATCTATCTCCTTTCTTGAATATTGGTACCACATTAGCAACTTTCCACAACTCTGGCATTCTGCCTGACTAGTGATTTATTAAATATTGTAGACAATGGCTTGCAATGGCTAAATTTATTGATGGATAATTTAGAAGAAAAATATCTGCTCTACACTAATTGACTTACCCAGTGTCACCAAGACCGTGAAGAAAAATTACCTAGAAGAAAAAAAATTAATATTAATATTTTACATTTTCTACTGACTACAGCTGTTTTACTACAAACACTTTACTATCAAATATATTACTATAAAATATCTTAAATATAAATAAAGTTAGAAACATAATTTAACTATTACAAAAAATATTTCACACAAATATGGTATATACACATACTCTATGTTAACATTTTTTTTTTTTTTTTTTTTTTTTTGAGATATATACAAGAGTTGTTACATTCTTGTAGAGCCACTAGTACGCGTAGGGTTTCGGGCAGGTCCCTGGAAAACGATCCCCACCGCGAAGAATCCTTGTTACAACCAAGTACACATTTTACTGTTGAGTTAAACAGAGGCTACAGTTAAGGATTTGCGCCCAGTAAATCCTCCCCGGCCAGGATACGAACCATGACAAAGCGCTCGCGAAACGCCAGGCGAGTCTTACCACTGCACCACGGGGACTGGTAAAGACTTAGTTAGATTAAGGACATGCCCAAAATGCTATGTGTGTTAAATGGCTTTACAAGAATGTAAAACCATCAATGCCATGTACTCTCATAAACCCATGGCACCTTCTTGTATGCAACAATGATCACAAAAACACTGATCCATGTATGTGGAAAACCACACGTGAAGAATAGAGAATGCTTAACGCGTTTAAGGCTTAAATCGCTTTCGTCAGAGAAAAGTAGAATGAAACTTGAATTCATTCTACTTTGCTCTGATGAAGGCGATTTTAAGCCGAAAACGCGTTTAGCATTCTCTGTTTTTCACATATGGTTTTTTCCGCATACCTTCTTGTATATACAGTATATAAATATAAATAAATAAATAAATATGATTCGATGTTGGTGTTGCATGGTATTGCAAGCATGAATTCTTTATGAATTCATGCTTGGGCTCAATTTTATTTGAAGTCTCTATCAGGGAAAAGCGCCAAGCCATTACGACTATATAGCACTGGGAAGGGGTCAGGATAAGGATTTGGGATGGGACGGGGGGAAGGAATGGTGCCCAACCACTTAGACGGTCGGGAATTGAACGCCGACCTGCAAGAAGCAAGACCGTCGCTCTACCGTCCAGCTCAAGTGTAATTTTATTTGATTAACTGTTACTTTCTACACTCTCTTTGACAAAATTTAATATCCATCACCCTACATTGTGTTATTCCTACTGGCTTCATTTTGTGGGCTGTCATTCCATCACCACAAGGGAAAGTGTGGGTGGGCACACCCAGGGGGGGGGGGGGGGGGGTCCGTCTAATTACCGCAAGCTTCACAAAGCTTCCTGGCAATACATTAGTAATGAATAAATATGATAGGTTAGGCTGACCTAACCTAACCTAACCTAACCGATGCTTGGATCGTCGACTTGATTTGGCGTCACCAGTTCTTTATTTTCGTCTAATTTCTTTATAAAAAGATACTTTTTCAGATTAAAATTATGTTTTTTCGTGTTGTACATTCAGCACCAACATTATAATGTGTAAATATATCATATTTATTTATTACTAACGTATTGCCAGGAAGCTTTGTGAAGCTTGTGGTAATTAGACGGACCTGACCCAGGGTAGATGAGGGAGAGTGAGTGGGCACACCCAGGGTTATCTTGAGGTTATCTTGAGATGATTTCGAAGCTTTTTTAGTGTCCCCGCGGCCCGGTCCTCGACCAGGCCTCCACCCCCAGGAAGCAGCCTGTGACAGCTGACTAACACCCAGGTACCTATTTTACTGCTAGGTAACAGGGCCATAGGATGAAAGAAACTCTGCCCATTGTTTCTCGCTGGCGCCTGGGATCGAACCCGGGACCACAGGATCACAAGTCCAGCGTGCTGTCCGCTCGGCCGACCGGCTCCCTAGATAAGGGTAGATAAGGGGTAGATGAGGGAGAGTGAGCACTCCCAGGGTACACCAGAGAGAATGAGATAGCAACACCCACAGTAGACCTACCCACCGGGGGGCCCCGACACCGAGCCCAGGAGGCACCTATGGGCCCCAAACCACCCAACACCCCATAAACATCCCCCCACCACCACCGCACCCCTACCAGCCACCCAGGTCTACCACGGGGTCAACAGGTCGCCTGTGGTACTGACTGTGGCTGTGTGTTTGGCCGTCGCGTTCACTACTACAGGAGCCGCCATCTTCGCCGTCTTCCCTCCCATACGATGGCCGCCGCCGCCGCCGCCGCTCTCCTCTGCCTCCCTCCTACACTCTCACTATCATGGAAGCTGTGCTATAGGAGGACCAGGCCTATATATACACCGCCGCCGCACCAGATCTTCCTCACTCTCGCCTCCTAGCTTGCCCTCTGCCAACACTAGTGGGGCTGTAAGGCTCTACAGCGCCGCTAACACACGCTGTATTAATCTGCTGCGCCGCTAACACACGCTGTATTAATCTGCTGCGCCGCTAACACACGCTGTATTAATCTGCTGCGCCGCTAACACACGCTGTATTAATCTGCTGCGCCGCTAACACACGCTGTATTAATCTGCTGCGCCGCTAACACACGCTGTATTAATCTGCTGCGCCGCTAACACACGCTGTATTAATCTGCTGCGCCGCTAACACACGCTGTATTAATCTGCTGCGCCGCTAACACACGCTGTATTAATCTGCTGCGCCGCTAACACACGCTATATTAATCTGCTGTGCCGCTAGCACATGCTATATTAACGCTAACACACGCTGTATTAATCTGCTGCGCCGCTAACACACGCTGTATTAATCTGCTGCGCCGCTAACACACGCTGTATTAATCTGCTGCGCCGCTAACACACGCTATATTAATCTGCTGCGCCGCTAACACACGGTATATTAATCTGCTGCGCCGCTAACACACGCTGTATTAATCTGCTGTGCCGCTAACACACGGTATATTAATCTGCTGCGCCGCTAACACACGCTGTATTAATCTGCTGTGCCGCTAACACACGGTATATTAATCTGCTGCGCCGCTAACACACGCTATATTAATCTCCTGCGCTGCTAACACACGCTGTATTAATCTGCTGCGTAACTAACACATGGCGCACCCAATATAACCATCCAATCCCACTCATATACATGTCCAACCTACGCTTGAAACAATTGAGGGACCCCACATCCATCACGTTACGCGGTAATGGGTTCCACAAATCAATAACCCTAAGAACATTACCGAACTGCAGAAGGCCTATTGGCCCATACGAGCAGCTCCTATTCTATAACCACCCAATCCCACTCATATACTTGTCCAACCCGTGCTTGAAACAATCGAGGGACCCCACCTCCACAATGTTACGCGGCAATTGGTTCCACAAATCAACAACCCTGTTACTGAACCAGTATTTACCCAAGTCTTTCCTAAATCTAAACTTATCCAATTTATACCCATTGTTTCGTGTTCTGTCCTGTGTTGATACTTTTAATACCCTATTAATATCTCCCCGGTTATGTCCATTCATCCACTTGTAAACCTCTATCATGTCACCCCTAACTCTTCGCCTTTCCAGTGAATGCAACTTAAGCTTTGTTAATCTTTCTTCATATGAAAGATTTCTAATTTGGGGAATTAACTTAGTCATCCTACGCTGGACATGTTCAAGTGAATTTATATCCATTCTATAATATGGCGACCAAAACTGAACTGCATAATCTAAATGGGGCCTAACTAGAGCAAGATATAGCTTGAGAACCACACCAGGTGTCTTGTTACTAACGCTGCGATTAATAAATCCAAGTGTCCGATTTGCCTTATTACGAACATTTATGCATTGATCCTTTTGTTTTAAATTCTTACTAATCATAACTCCCAGATCCCTTTCGCAATCCGACTTCGCAATCACAACACCATCTAGCTCGTATCTTGTAACTCTATCATCATTACCTAACCTCAGAACTTTACATTTATCAGCATTAAACTGCATCTGCCAATCCTTTGACCATTTCAAAACCCTATCTAGATCAACTTGAAGTGATAGTGAGTCCTCCTCCGAATTAATTTCCCTACCGATTTTCGTATCATCGGCAAATTTGCAAATGTTGCTACTCAAACCTGAATCTAAATCATTTATATATATTATAAACAACAGAGGTCCCAGGACAGAGCCTTGAGGCACTCCACTTACAACATTTTCCCACTCTGACTTGATTCCATTTATACTAACTCTCTGTTTCCTTTGGTATAGCCATGCCCTAATCCAGCTTAATATAGCACCCCCAATACCATGAGACTCTATCTTTTTAATCAGTCTTTCATGTGGCACTGTATCAAAAGCTTTGCTAAAGTCAAGGTATACAACATCGCAATCCTTACCACTATCAACTGCCTCAACAATGCTAGAATAAAAAGATAACAAATTTGTTAAACATGAACGGCCATTTATAAAACCATGTTGCGACTCAATTATTAATTTATGTTTTTCAAGATGAAGACGAATTTTATTTGCTATTATAGATTCGAGTAACTTTCCCACAATAGACGTTAGGCTAATTGGTCGATAGTTAGACGCAAGTGATCTATCTCCTTTCTTAAAACTGGTATCACATTAGCAACTTTCCAAAACTCTGGCACTCTGCCTGACTCTATTGATTTATTAAATATGGTTGACAGTGGGTCACAAAGCTCCTCTTTGCATTCTTTAAGCACCCTGGCAAACACTTCATCCGGCCCTGGGGATTTGTTTGGTTTGAGTTTTACTATTTGTTTAAGAACATCCTCCCTGGTAACTGCTAAACTCGTCAACCTGTCCTCGTCCCCACCCACATAGACTTGTTCGGCTGAAGGCATATTGTTAAGTTCCTCTTTAGTAAATACAGATACAAAATATTTATTAAAAATACTACTCATCTCTTCATCACTATCTGTTATTTGACCTGTCTCAGTTTTTAATGGACCTATCCTTTCCCTAGTCTTAGTACGATATAACTGAAAAAACCCTTTAGGATTTGTCTTTGTTTGCCCTGCTATGCGAACTTCATAGTTTCTTTTTGCTTTCCTTATCTCTTTTTTAACATTTCTAACCAGTTGTACGAATTCCTGTTCTAAAGTGACCTCCCCATTTTTAATCCTTTTGTACCAAGCTCTCTTTTTACCTATAAGGTTCTTCAAATTCTTTGTTATCCACTTTGGGTCATTAGTATTCGATCTATTCAATTTGTATGGTATACTACGTTCCTGTGCTTTGTTTAGAATATTCTTAAATAAGTTATATATTGAATCCACATCGAAATCCCCATTTAAGTCACCTATCGCTGGGTTCATGTCTCGCTCCAAGACCGGCCCACACCCCATACCCAAGACTTTCCAATCAATTTGACCCAAAAAATTTCTTAGGCTATTAAAATCAGCTTTTCGAAAATCTGGCACTTTAACAGAATTTTCTCCTACTGGTCTATTCCATTCTATGCTAAATCTGATTTCTTTGTGATCACTGCTCCCTAGCTCACTCCCTATTTCGATGTCATTAATTTGCGTTTCCCTGTTAGTTAACACTAAATCTAAAATATTATTTTCCCGTGTTGGTTCCTTAATGTGTTGCGTAAGAAAGCAATCGTCAATTAATTCTAGAAAATCTTCTGCTTCCCTGTTTTGTTCAACCAGTTTATTCCGCTAAAATTAAAGTCACCCATGACATAAATACTGTTAGATCTAGATGCTCTAGATATTTCATCCCATAGATGCTTTGCTTCCATTCTGTCTAAATTTGGTGGCCTATATATTACTCCTATTATAATATTATTAGCTTTTTCGTTTAATTCAATCCAAATAGTTTCTGTGTGTGGCTCTGTTTTGATTCCCTCTTTGAGACTACATTTCAAATTGTCCCTAACATATATGGCTACTCCACCTCCTCGTCTAATATATCTATCTGTGTGAAATAGTTTAAATCCATATATTTGATATTCAGCTAATAGTTCTCTATTTTCTACATTCATCCACGTTTCGGTAAGTGCAATAATATCTATTTTTTCTGTGCAGACAAGAGCATTTAATTCGTTAATTTTATTTCTTAGACTTCTACTGTTAGTGTAATATACCCTAAGTGAATTGTTATTTTGCGGACCCTCTCTTTCCCTGATCGTTTTGCCAATTCCTTTCTCCCACAAACACATACTTTTATTACCTCCTTCCTCCAAATCAATTCCATACCTCTATCTACTAACAGTTTAAACCCAAACAAACACCTCTAACCACTTCTTCTAACGAGTCCGCAACAGCAACAACCCCAGCTCTCGATAGATGCACCCCATCACGAGCATACATTTCATTTCTTCCATAGAAGTGTTCCCAGTTGTCTATTTACCCAAGTCTTTCCTAAATCGAAACATATCCAATTTATACCCATTATTTCGTGTTGATACTTATAATACCCTATTAATATCTCCTTTGTTATGTCCATTCATCCACTTGTAAACCTCTATCATGTCACCCCTAACTCTTCGCCTTTCCAGTGAATGCAACTTAAGCTTTGTTAATCTTTCTTCATATGAAAGATTTCTAATTTGGGTAATTAACTTAGTCATCCTATGCTGGACACGTTCAAGTGAATTTATATCCATTCTATAATATGGCGACCAAAACTGAACTGCATAATTTAAATGGGGCCTAACTAGAGCAAGATATAGCTTAAGAATTTCAAAACAAACGGTAAAGAGGTTTCGAAGATTTCCCTCACATGAAAAACATATGAAAACACAGTTTTTAAAAAAAAAAGCATGTTAAGCATGTTTTTTTCCCGTCACAGACGTGACATCTATATTGTATGTATATAAAAACCCGCTCGGATGCGAATGGAACATTGTGTAAACATTTCAAAGCAATCGGTGAAGAACTTTCAGAGATTAGCTATTTTGAACAAACGAACATTCCCATTTTTATTTATATAGATGGTAGACAGTGGCTCGCAAAGCTCCTCTTTGCATTCCTTAACCACCCTGGCAAACACTTCATCAGGCCCTGGGGGATTTATTTGGTTTCAGTTTGACTATTTGAGCGGGCATACGAGTGAAAAGCGACGTTATTCTAAGAGGACGGGTTGTGGTAACAAGGTTGCTGATTTGCGGAACCAATTACTGTGTAACATAAGTAGGATCCCTTGATTGTTTCAAGCGTAGGTTAGACATATATGAATGAGATTGGGTGGATATAAATAGGAGCTGCCTCGTATGAGCCAATAGGCCTTCTGCAGTTACCTTCCTTTTTATGTTCTTAATTATGGCCATTCATCCACTTGTACACCTCCATCATGTCACCCAGAGTTCTTCGCCTTTCTAGGGAATGTACAAGTCCACTACGGGCTCACCATAGCCCGTGCTACTTGGAACTTTTGCTTCCAGTCGCTGAATCTCATTGCAGAACCTAAGTTACGAAACGTAGTTGACCTCACCTTACTTATGATGAGTCTTCAATACTATACTAAATGTTCGTAATAAGGCAAATCGGACACTTGGATTTATTAATCGCAGCGTTAGTACCAAGACACCTGGTGTGGTTCTCAAGCTATATCTTGCTCTAGTTAGGCCCCATTTAGATTATGCAGTTCAGTTTTGGTCGCCATATTATAGAA